ACCATCTTTAAGAGTTTGATTTAAAAGAATTTTACAAACAAAGAAAACACTCTACTTATGCATTACTTGAAAGAATATTTTTTACCACACAAGTAACAGTCACTTTTATAGTTCTTTTTCAAAAAAAATTAAATTAATGCAATCTCATCTCAGATTGACCAAGTAAAGTAGCCTAACTACATTATTGACGAGCTTTTTTATTTTTTTTGTCCTTTTCTTTCCCTGTAGTGCAGCGAAGTGGTGTGCAAGGCTAAGCCATGATGCGGAATTGAGCAATCAATATCACAATAGTGTGAACCTTTGAGTTGACTACAATAATAATAATATTAATTTGAGAATGTATTCATTTTTATTTTTTTTTAATCTCATAAATATAGATTGCTAATCATCATATATAATTTAAGAACTGTATTCAAATAGGTCTCGACTCGACCGTATCTAGATTTTCGGTTCCGTTATAGCAAAGATCCAAACTTAGAAGGGTAAAAGAATGGTAGTTTAACTTAAAGATAGAAAAGAATAAATTTATTTCAACTTTTTTAATCATAAAGATAATTTGGCTAAGATTATTTTAGTTACAAAAAGGCCGTATTGTTAAGTTTTTAAAAGAATGATCACGTGTTTAAGAAAATGATCATCAAAAAAATTTAACGGATTGTCTAATTAGGGACCAAAGTAACACGGATTGAATATTTTAGGAATGCAATTGAAGACTAAATTAACAAAAAAAAATGCATACTTTAATAACCAAAAGTACTATTAACACTATAAAAGATATATATTGTTTTTATATTTTAACTGTATCATATATTCAAATAAATTTAAAATTGAAAATAACAAAAAATCAGTTGTCTAATTGAATGAATGATCAATGGATGATTAATAAGTACGTATAAAGAAAATATTTTTGATGTTATTGGCAATAAAGTTATGGTTATATTTTTTTGAATAAAAAAAAACTTAATAAGGGTCAATTTTAAGAACTAAAAAGGAGTAGTAGTCCATTTCTTTTGTCTTTTTTATGTTTATATACTTAAATTTATTGGCGTTTAACTGTTTTTTTATTTATGAATTTTTAAATATCAGATATAATACAATAAATTTAAATATATTATTTATTTTTATTAATTAAAAAATAAAGACCACATTTTGCCTCCACCCAAAGCCACCAAGGTGACTTAACATAAATACCTATCGGATCAATGAACAGCCAACCGCAGAAACTGACAAATCGGTCCTGACCATTAACATATGATTCTCTCTTTAAAGGCAGATATCACTTTTTATCATTTGCCAAATGTTTTTTTTTCCTACCACAATCAAAGTCCCACAAATAAAGGACTGAGAGAGAGAGAGAGAGAGAGAGAGAGAGAGAGAGAGAGAGAGAGAGAGAGAGAGAGAGAGAGAGAGAGAGAGAGAGAGAGAGAGAGGAGCTAGATCATCACCATTATCAAATCATACATGGAGGGGGAGATCAACAACTGTATCAAGGTATATCTTTTAGCCTCTGTGTCTTTATTCTACTGCTATGTTGCAGGCAAGATTGTCCCCAAAGGAAAGCTCAGACTCTTCTCTCTCATCCCTGTGGTATGTCTCAACCTACTCTTCTCCCTCTAAATCTACACACCATGCACCTTCAAGGCTTAACTGCTTTCTTCATAGCTTGGCTTGCCAACTTCAAACTCCTGCTCTTTGCCTTTGGCAAGGGTCCGTTATCTAACCCATTTCTCTCTCCTTCCCTTTTTATAGCACTTGCTTGTTTCCCCATTAAAATCAATGAAACCCCTTCTCCAAAACAACTAAAAGACCATAATAAAGAAAACATGTCTCCCAAAACCTCCCAAAATGGCCATAGTGAACAAAACCCATCTCCCAAACCTGCCAAAAAGGCCTAAAACCAATTTGGAATTATGCTATAAAGTTTCTATGTATAGCTATTTTGCTCCGTTTGTATGGTTATAGTGAGCATTTTCATCCAAAGCTTTTGTGGTGTGTCTATAGTCTCCATATGTACTTAGCTTTGGAAACATTACTAGCCATAGTGGCAGCCCTGGCTCGAGCCCTGTGGGGCATGGAGCTTGAGCCACAGTTCAATGAACCCTACCTCTCAACCTCTCTCCAAGACTTCTGGGGTCGAAGATGGAACATAATGGTGACCCGAATTCTACGCCCGACTGTTTACGAACCTGTGCTCCATACTTCATCTCGGGTCATGGGCCGAAAATGGGCTCCACTTCCTGCCATTTTCAGCACATTTTTGGTGTCCGCCATAATGCACGAGCTTATATTTTATTACTTGGGTCGTACATGGCCCACATGGGAAATCACAGGGTTCTTTTTGCTCCAAGGTGTCGCTTTAATGGTTGAGGTTGCAATCAAGAAGGCGTTTTCCGGCCGGTGGCAGTTGCCTTGGATCGTCACGGCTCCATTAACTATCGGGTTCGTGATGGTTACCGCATTTTGGCTGTTTTTTTCCTCCATTTTTGAGGTGTAAGTCAATGGAAAGAACCTTTGCAGAGTACGCAGCAATGGGTTCATTTGTGAAAGATGTGGGCACGGCTTTAACGTCCAAGTATCTCAACAATGTAACAACAGTTTAGGATTTGTTGTTACACCTCATATCACCACAAAATAGGTGTTTTTTCGTCCCTTCAATGTATGCTTTTTCCACTTTTCTGCTCACTGGATTATTTACCGTTAATTTAAGCCGAACTTCTTGTATAATGAGAATTCTAGTAGAGAATTATGTTAATTAGGGATATATAAAATTGGGGTTGGCAAGATCTTGCAAAAAGTCATATGAAACTCACGATCCCAAAAGGACCTCATTATGTTTGGTGGCGTTTGCTAAGGATAATTAATAATTTCACTATAATTGGTAGAATCGTTATTGGCAACAATACATTTTGGCCTTGAGTAACGCCAAGTTATATGCTTGTGAATATGAATGGATCTCAATTTTTTTTCTTAATTGTTTAGCTATATTTTTATATATAATAAGTTGTGTCCACCCTTAAAATTGACTTTCATTTGTTTATTTGTGAATTCTTTTGATTTTAAGATCATAATTCAATTTTCAATTGTTTGAAATATGACATACAATTAAATTTTAATTTTTTAAGATTGATGATTAACTTGTTTCAATTGAATTCTAGAGCTATTTTTATGTTTATTTCTTGAATTTTTATTTATTTATTTATTTTAATTCTTATTCAATTGGGAATATATTTTATCTATTATATCTCTATACGTGTGTGACTCAAGTATAATTAGTGGTTGATTTCAATATGATCATTTGGTAAAAAGTAATATTATTTGGTAATGACCTTTTTTATTTGCATTTAGAATTTTTTGGACGTTTCGAATTTATGAAATCTTTTTAATGGATGGTTTGAAGTTTAATAGAGTTTAGATTTGTGATCTCCACTATTTTATTAACATACATAAAATTAGAGTCATCTTTGTGGAAGTCTAAGGTCATTAATTGCTTAATGTTATAGAGCTGGACTTAGGGCGTGTTTGTTAATCCAAATTTAGCACTTAAAATGAATATATTTGACACTTATTGATTAAACTTGTTTGATAACTAAAATTTCAACTCTCTTAATATGTTAAGTGTTATTTTAAAATAGACTACAATATTAAGTAAGAGATATCTTACTTAATTCTGAAAGTTGAAAGCTTTCAGTAAGGTCATCTTTAATTATATTTATAATATGACTATTATACCTCAAAATATTTTGCAATACTATTAAAACTCTAATTAGTATTCTCTCCAAAATTCTTATCCTATCTATCCTCCTTGTCAATCGTCTTCTTCAACGATAGATCTTCTTCTTCTTTTTTCTTTTTTGCTTCACTCGTCTGTTGCAAATATACATTCATTGCACACATACACACATTCAATGCGCACACACACACATACAGAGTTACACACACCCAAACACGAACACACAGGCAAGCACTGCACACACATATACCCACCCACCCAAGCCACCTACACACAAGCACAAATTGCACACACACATGTTATTAATGAGATTTAATTTGTTTTATTTTTTAAATTCGATTATTTATTCATTTATTTTTTTTAATCAGATGTTATTGTTCAGTTATAGTGTTATTCAATTTATTATTGTTCACTTATTGTTATTCGATTATTTATTAGTTATTGTTTATTTTTTTGATCAGATGTTATTGTTTACTTATTGTGTGATTTAATTTGTCATTGTTCACTTATTGTGATTCTGATTATTTATTTGTCTTTGTTCTTTTTTTTTATTAGATGTTATTGTTTAGTTATTGTGTTATTCAATTTATTAATGTTCACTTATTTTGTTATTTAGATGTTATTTTTATGATTAGATGTTATTGTTCATTTATTATATTATTTAATTTATTATTGTTCACTTACGGTGATTCAAATATTTATTTTTTGTTTTTTATTAGATTTTATTGTTCAATTTTTGTATTATTCAATTTATTATTGTTCAATTATTCTGATTGTTCACTTATTGTTATTCAATTATTTGTTAGTTATTTTTTATCAAATATTTTTATTCACTTATTGTGTTATTTAGATATTATTTTTTGATCAGATCTTATTGTTTACTTATTGTGTTATTCAATTTGTTATTGTTCACTTATTGTGATTTGATTATTTATATTGATTTGATATATTTTTATTTTTTATTACATAAAATCATATTTTATAAATATTTTTAAATTAAAGAGTGGAAGTGTAAAAGTGAAAATTAATTTATTTTCAAACTTCAGCTCTATATAGTTATCAAATAGTTTGATTTAATTCAGTATTTCAATTTTAATAGATGTCAAATTGTCCACAAATTCAACATTCAGTTTTCAGATTTCAGCTTTTAGTTTTAACAAACATAACCCTAGTTAAAGTGCCCACACTTAGACTAATTTTTGCTCTGCCATGCCTGGCCAAAAAAGTGATTCAACTAAGAATGTTAGAAGAAAGGCAGTTCACAGAGGAAAAAAAAAAGTTAGCTCAACTCTTTTGAAAAAATAAAGACAAGCATAAATGTATGATATCAAAATGTATTTTTTTGGTACCCTAATACAAAATATTATTTTTTTTAGGCTAAATTACAAAATTTTGGGAGTCTAATTTATTGAAGTGTGTGAAATCGATCTCAATATTTTATGATCAATCTTAAAATGCGAGAATTTATCCTAAACACTATCAAACATTTTAACTTCATCAAAAATTATTGTAACTTGACCTAATATTCATATTTTGTTGGATCAATCCTAAGATTTTAGGTTACTTTCTTGTTGTAATTTAACCTCTAAACGTTATATGTTACATAAAAAATGATAAACTTGGGTGTTAAAGTCAAACCCGGAAGACAACGGAGCAAAGATAATTTTGAACAAAGAAAAAGGCACTCCAATAAATGAGATTCTTGTCATTATTTGGCTTTGAGACGGATAGATTTATACATTTTTACCCTACTTAAATACTTTTTTTTAAAATTCAAATCCGTAATACCTAATTTTCAACAGTACTATCTTTATTCACAAACCAAGATTTATGATTTGTGGCACAGCTTGATGAAAAGGTATCATGTTTTACAGTTATGTTTTGTCTTTTGTCTTTTTTATTTTCCAAAAATGTTTTGACCATGAGCTGCGACAGATTGAGCTAGCCCTGCCGGCGAATCATGTGGAATTTCGAAATAACTGTTGGCGGCTGCTAAGCGGCTTCAATAATATATATATATATATATATATATATATATATATAATATTAATTGAGAAGCAGGATCGTATAGACTCTGCACCATAAACCTCTAACAGGTGTTTTTTATGTAGATCGTTAAATTATGATCTAATATTCACTAGGCAAAGTTATTCAATATTAATTACCAAAACCTATTAAATTTAGTTTTTCACTAAATAGAAAATATCTATTACATATGTATTGTGATCTAATCCTATTAGGAAAATCTTAAAAATTAATAATAAAAAAAATTACGCCCCTGTTAATAATAAAAATTGACCCAATGACCCAAATAGTATTTATCTTTATCCATTTAATTTATTATACCTATTTGGATTAAAAAAAATTAAATTCAAACCCTGCTCTTATGTCTATCTCCCAACAAATGTGCAAAAGTTCATAGCAGACTAACAGCGCAGCGGTTGTGCTACCTTTGTCATCTATTCATTTACTACGGTAATATCTTACATCATGATTTAGCTTACATGCATGCCAAGGACTTTAAATCTTTTGAATAGTTTAATCAATTGGCCACTTGATTATTTAGTTGGTTAAATGATTGGTTGTTAAAGCTTCTGATGATGTGGCTAAGTTAAAAATTCAAAAGTGGTGGTATTGACGAGTTAATGTTCGGCAAATTAAGTCAGTATAATTTTTTAAACTTAAATTTAATAGTTATGCTTTTTTTTTATTGGGGACGAAAGCGCAATTTAATTACTAAATTCCACTGTATAGATATTGCTTGCCTCCATTGCTGAAATTTAGAATATTGAAACTTTAGTAGTGATATTACTTGTCTGTGTTTTCTAAATACTTGCCAATCAATTGCATATTTGTTTTTGTTTTTTGTAGATAATTTATTGTGTAGTTAATAAGCACTCCTAATTGGGTTGATTAGAAATTTAGGAAAGAAAGATAAATATTAATTAATCTCCCTCAATAATTGGCGGGACTCTGGCCGCCCCAATTAGAATCGTGTAAAGACCGAAGAGGCGCCAAAGACATAAGCCAATGAGTAATGGTTAAGAGGAGTTTAGTACATATATTGACGTTCATATTTAATACCATTTGACCTCTCATTTATGACAATGTGAGTGACGGAAACGAGACCATTAATGAGTCGCTGCAACCTCAAAGCCTAAATCTACAATCATGATGGTTAGACATTAATGGTTATTATGCCGAGTATACATCCTCAGCGTGCCTTGAAGTACTGTCCCCCCCGCATTTAATGCTCAATAGTACTTGTCACCTGTCGATCGCAGAAATTTGGGTGCCCGGAGACAACTATAAATGCTCGACATGTCCCGAGTATTTATCCTGTCATCTTAGCATGAAAATATGTGAAGATCTGGGTGGAGAATACTCATTACACATGGCTAAGAGTGCCAGACATTGAATGTTCTGATAGGACTTAAGGCCTATTGCACTCATTACTAAATCCAAGGATAAATACTTTGCAAAAAAGAGAGTAAAGGTACGCAGTACTAAATTGAGAAAAAGAATACACTGCGCTCAAGCCTCCAATCAGATACTGACTTAAATTTCGGAAGGGATAAAATAGGTGTTCACCCCGGCTCCCTTTCTGACCTTGTGATTATTTCAGGTTTACCAAACAGGCAACCGTTATTTCAATCTATTGCAAGAAATCTCTCGTGCAATAATTATAAAACTGTGGTATTAAGGTAACAAACTACTGTTTACATAATGACCCAAAAAAGAAAAGCAAAAAAAATAATTTGACCAAAAAATTGAAAAGACTTACTCAACAATGGTGTGCCCTGCAACCCGTTATTTTTAGCTTATTTTTAACCTTTTATTTGATAATTTGGCCAACCTGTTATATTTATT